ATGGGAGGGGAAGAAATGTAACTGCTAAGGAAAAGCAGGTGGAAACTAAGAAAACAGCCACAGGAGCCTGGAGGTTTATCAAATGGAGGGCTTCTCAAACCTCCTTTCAGGCTTTCTTTGTTCCTTGTTTTTTTGTTCCATAGTGACCTTGACTATGGGGATCAATGGCTCATACCTGACATACATTGAGGCACTAGTTCAACCTAGGAGGAGTTTGGGACGCCACAGGACAGGCTAGTTTTCTGTCCAGGAGGTGTGGACACTCTTCCCTTGCATCATGTTTTCCATGCCTTGCTTTGAGGAACGGCTTTGTGAAACATGTGTCTGTCTCAGCTTTTCAGGTCTGGGCTTCCAGAGCTGATGTGTGAACATCCTAGAGCAAGCCCTGGGAATACTCGAGACAGCTACCTGATCCCGTTGCGTTGTCTTTTGTTGCGTTTGAAACACAGATTCTGTCATTCCACTCCATTTGGGCCTTAGGAGGATGAGTTAGAGTCTGAGAATGAAATTTTTTTTTTTTTTTTAAGACTGCTTTCCATTAATTCTGCATTACCTTGCTTTTCTGAATTAAATCTTAAAGCCATACTTAAAGTACCAAAGAAGGTTTAGCTGCACAATTGCCATTTGACATGGGAAATTGAATGGCTAAGCCACTGCATATATGCAGTAGCCTGTACACTGCTGGGCAGACTGTAGAACTGTTCTTCATACATTAGGCAACCAATTGCCGATTTGTGTACATATGTAGGTTCATCCTTTACCAATTTCCTGTGACTGATAGTTTCCAGGAGATTAAAAGAATAGCTGGTTCCTGTTTTTTCTCTTCTCTCTATTTTTGTCCTTTAGCAAGAATATTTGTGTGTGTGTATGTGTGTGTTTAATAGCATTCATTCCCTAGAGAATAATCTCAGTCCTTGTTTTAGCTGGCCGCCTTCTGAGAGTGTGTTAAATCTGTAGCCAAGATCACAGGCAGCTCTGGGCAAACTATTGGGCTGTTATTAACCTGCCTCCATGGCAACTGCTGCTCGCCAGCCCGAGGACAAAAAATGTTTTTATTCTGCTGAGTTGCACAAAAGGTTCTAGTGATGCCTTGCACAAAATGGCCATTGAAAGGGGAGGTGCAGTGATGTGTGTTTGTGTTGTTCAGTTTCATATCTAAATAATTTTATGCTGTTGTGTTGGAAGTGGTTATACAGCTGAGAAGTTCAGCGTGTTGGCCGTATGTAAAGTAAAAAACAGCATAAAATTGGAACTCAACTTATTTTTATACTACTTATTTTTGTCAGCTTGAGTTCACAGGCCTTCAGCGTGTCGTTGTCATCAGTTCGTTAGCAAGTTATTTGTGAGCATGAACCAGGCAAGCATCATCATGGGTTTTCAGTTGTGCTGTACGAGATACTTGCTGACCTGGGGTTACAGAGAGATCATAAAGCAGGTTTCCTTTTTGTTGAGAAACCCTCCAATTTGCTTCAGTACTTGTTTGGGAAGCTTAGTAAGCATACCTTAGTGCTTGGTGAGCTTCAAATTTGAACTGGTTTTCAAAGCTGCTCCTGGCAGTACGGTTTCAGGCTTGCTTTGAAACAAAATGACGGAGCCAGCTGTATTGCTCAGGGTAGGCATGGATTTAAGCTGCTTATAAAGAGTGTTCGCAGTGGGATCTGTGGGCGGTCTGGCAGCCCCAGGTTGCATCCCGCAGTCAGTAACCCTCTGGCAGGAGCCTGTGCAGCTCTGCTGTCAAGCTGGGTGCAGAGTGACTGTGTGCGTGTGGACGCTGACTCTCAGAAGCGTGCTGGTTTGGGATGCTTGCTGTGCTCGCAAGCTGGCAGCGCACCATTTCCCGGTGAGCTGAAGCCCCTCTGCTTCCCGCTTTCATCTTGGTGCGAGGGCGAGTAGTTTCTGCGGTTCCAAATTTGAGCACTTATTTCTGCCTTGCTCAAAATAGTGCGGGTGCTTTAGAGACCTCCTAGGGCTTCTGTTGGCCTTGGTCAGCGCTGATGAAATGAAGGCCACCCAAATGCTGTGGTGCTTTTTCACTTGGGCTGTAGAGGAAAGCATAAAGCGCGTGGCCACAAAGACGCTGTGTGCAGCTGCCGGTCTCTGGGAGGTGGGAGAGGGTTTGCCGCTGTCGGCTCGAGGGTGTGTGGATTAGCGGCAGATATTGTCGTGTGCTCGGGTAAGGGATCGGACAGACTCTCCAGGGCGAATGTTCTGCCAGTGGCCTGGAAAGCCGGCCATGCAGTGTGGGGCACTGGGAGGACAGGAACCTGGTTGTGGAGTGTTAATTGTCAGTCCCGGGTCTACATAGCGTGGCTGTCAGGAGTAGGGCAGTGATTGTACTCGGCACTGATGAGGCCGCACCTTTTATACTGTGTTCAGTTTTGGCCCCCTCGCTACAAGAAGGGTACTGAGGTGCTGGGGCGTGTCCAGAGAAGGGCAATGAAGCTGGAAAAGGGCCTAGAGAACAATTCCTGTAAGGAGCGGCTGAGGGAATTGGGATTGTTTGGTCTGGAGAAGAGGAGGCTGAGGGGAGACCTTATTGCTCTCTACAGCTACCTGAAAGGAGGTTGTAGTGAGGCAGGCGTTTGTCTCTTCTCCCAAGTAACTACCAACAGGACGAGAGGCAATGGCCTCAAGTTGCGTCAGAGGAGGTTTAGATTGGATATTAGGAAAAATGTCCTCAGCGAGAGGGTTGTCAAGCACTGGAACAGGCTGCCCAGGAAGGTGGTGGAGTCACCATCCCTGGAGGTGTTGAAAAGACGTGTAGATGTGGTGCTTAGGGACATGGTTTAGTGGTGGACGGTTGACGGTTGGACTTGATCTTAAAGGTCTGTTCCAACCTAAATGATTGTATGATTCTACTCTGCACCAGTTTTTACTTTTGTCAAGCAGGCTGCTCCCATTTCCTGAAACCAGCAGCTTTTCTTTTGGACCTCATCAGTCCCTTGGCTTTGCTTCCAGCTGTTTTCATTTCCTATCTCTGATGGGGTCCTCCTGCAGAGCAATCTGCAGATCAGCATGGTTAGGCGATCAGCCTCCTCCATACCAAGCAAAGATCCAGCCTTTAGTCACCTTCTCCTATGGGAGCACGGTCTGAAAGGCCATTCGTTTTGTGCTGGGCTGGGGCCATGTGTGTTGAGCATTGCCTGCTGGGTCAGAGCGTGGTTACTCTTGGATAATCCTTCGCTGCTAATCCCGTGCCAGGTGCAAGCGTTTCTTGGATTAACTGTTGGAGGCTGGGGTCTGACCCAGGAGCAGATGCTGCGGAGGCGAGCCAGCCGCACGCCTATGACTGCTGTTGCGCCTGGCTTGTGAGCTGCATTCAGGCAGATTCCCCAAAGCAGAGGATCGCTCTGCAAGGTCCGGTGTCCAAACTTGACTCTGGACCTCTGTGATAAGATGAAAACCAGAGACGATTCCTCTGATAGCACACGTTTGAATTTTGTGTGCCCCGTGACTGCTAAACTGCAATGTTTGTTCGTTCAGCAGTATTTTTGTCATGAAGACCGTTCTGCTGAGTGGACTCCAGCTGTGGGCTTGTGTCTGTACAATTAAATCTTGTCTGCAGTTAGTGTAAGTGTCGTTTCATAAGTCACTTCAGTGGTGATAGCTGCTTAAGCCTGACTAGGACACTTGCTAGTGGCTCTCAAAAAGAAGAGTTTCCCACTTATGAAATGGGAAAGCTTTCAATTATCGGATGCATATTTTTCCCCAGTGCTTCCCGGGCGTGCCTAGTCTGCAACTCATTCATTAGCGGGAAAGGGAGGGGGATAAAAATAAACTCGCCTCGTGTGGCGGATGAAGACTTGCTGATCTTCATGAGGAATTTTTGGGGCGGGAAGATGAGATGTGATGTACGTACTCGCCAGCTGTTTTCTCCCTGCCTTGAAATGCCTCGCGCATTTAGCACCTTGCCATAGAAGCAGCGGGCTGTTCCTGCGACATGCAACGCTGGTCGCTCCATTAAGCGTTGCCTTAATGGCTTGCGTTTTGCGCAGTTGTATGAAATGCACATTAACGGAAACAGCTTAATGCCATCACCCTGAAGTAATGAATTGGTATGGATTGCCATTACCATTATGGCGCAGTTAAAAGCTGTGTTTGTTTCCGATTTACATTTCCCCGCTCTGCAAGCAGATGGGTTTTCAGGCCACGCAGTCGGGAGGAACCTGGCAATTCAGCTGCGGCCTCCTGATTGCGGTGTTTGTAGAGCAGCACTTCTGGGGGGGTGTTTTGTTAACTCAGACTGCTTAAACGATACATTTCATTAAAGCTATGATTAAGCTACTGCAGATTGTATTCAGGGATCACTGTAAATCCAGTGTATCCTATAAAGCTGGAAGTGTATTGTCTCTGTAATACAGCTTCATCTCACCGCTCTCGATAGAAATTGCTATTCTTTGGCCCCCATTCAGTTTTTCTGTTGTTAAAGTATCTGTATCCCTGTACCCATATATGGATTTATACAAAAAGATACTCGGGAGCCATGGGAGAGTAGAAGGTAGTTAAGTTTTGCAGACCTAAATGTCTTCCTCTTCCTATGAAAGTGCAAAGTATCTTTTACTTTTCCAAAAGCCTTCGTTGTCTGGAGTATTTGCTCCTCTGGCTTCCTGAACAGTGCAAGCATAGCTGGGGCTCCTCCTGTTAGTAATGCTGAAACGTGGTGAGCTCTGTATGAGCAGCTGCATCGCAATGGATCACTTCAGACAAGTGATTTTTTTTACTTTTTCCATTTTATAGGCTGTCTTATCGATCTCCTCTCGGTCCTGTAAAGATAGGAGTACTTGGCCCTCTTTCTGGGCTTTGAGTCCATACCAACAGATCTGTAGGTCACTTCTTTAGAGGGTGATGCTGTCTTGCACCACCTATAGATTTTTGCTTAGCATGTCAATGCCTGGGCCTTTTAGTCTCTATGGCTTTTACTAAGCGGAGGACAGATACTCTTTTCCTCGTAATTTGCTTTTTTCTCATAACATTTCTTTTGCTTTCTCTTTTCTGCTTAGGTTGCTTTGAATGTTGCATTAAGTGCCTAGGAGGAGTGCCATACGCTTCGCTCGTGGCAACCATTCTCTGCTTCTCGGGGGTAGCGTTGTTTTGTGGCTGCGGCCACGTGGCACTCACGGGAACCGTGTCTATCCTCGAGCAGCACTTCTCCACGACTGCCAGCGACCATGCTTTGCTGAGTGAAGTGTAAGTATGCCTCCCATTTCCATTATTCCTCATAGCACCCTCATGCTAAATGAGTAGCGATGGATTCAAAACTCAGTCTCTATCCCTGAGCTTAGGTTGCTTGTTTGTCCAACAGCACTCAGCGGTTTTTTTGGTGTTCCCACACAAAGAACCAGAGCGTGTATCCTGCCTAACCTGTTTATACTGGGACAGTACTATTCAGTAGCTTCATCAGCGCCATAGACAGTGGGATCAAGTGCACCCTCAGGAGGTTTGCAGATGACACCAAGCTGAGTGGGGCAGTTAGTTCACCTGAGGGACGGAATGCCATCCAGAGGGACCTGGACAGCCTTGAGGAGTGGGCCCCTGTGAACCTCGTGAGGTTCAACAAGGCCAAGTGCATGGTCCTGCACGTGGGTCGGGGCAATCCCAAATATGGATACAGGCTGGGTGATGAGTGGATTGAGAGCAGCCCTGAGAAGAAGGACTTGGAGGTTCTGGTTGACGAGAAGCTCAACATGAGCCAACAATGTGCGCTTGCAGCCCAGAAGGCCAACCGTATCCTGGCCTGCATCAAGTGAAGCGTGGCCAGCAGGTCGAGAGAGGTGATTCTGCCCCTCTGCTCTGCTCTGGTGAGACCCCACCTGGAGTCCTGCGTCCAGCTCTGGGGCCCCCAGCACAAGAAGGACATGGATGTGTTGGAGCGGGTCCACAAAGGAGGGCCACAAAGATGATCCGAGGGCTGGAACACCTCTCTTGTGAGGAAAGGCTGAGGGAGTTGGGGCTGTTCAGCCTGGGGAAGAGAAGGCTCTGGGGAGACCTTATCTCAGCCTTCCAGTAGTTAACGGAGGCCTAGAAGAAAGATGGAGAAATGCTTTCCACCTGGGCCCGTAGTGACAGAACGGGGGGTAATGATTTTAATCTGAAAGAGGGTGGGTTTAGTGTTCACTGGTGACGCAAAGTTTGAAGGGAAGATGGGAATAACGGGGAAGTGTTGTTCTGTCCACCCCCCCTCTGAAGAAGGCACACTGGTGTTGTGCAATCAAGAAAAAAGAGAACAGACTGGAAAGAGCTTGAACCTTTGTCTCTGCAACTGCAGCCTTTGGAAGTAACCACCAGTGAAATATCTGGGGCTTTTGTGTTCCCGAGGCTTCTCCCCAAAATCAACGGGAGCCCCGTCGCCCTGT